CCAACGCGTTGCTCGTCTTCAACGTCTTCACGGCCATCTTTGAAATTTTTGTGCCACTCAAAAACACTCGTTCTGGACATGGAATCATCCTTGTAGGCCTGACGAATCATATTAAATGTCTTCGTAGCAGATTTATTTAGCTTAACGCAAAATTTAATCGCACAACGCTGCTCGATGTTTCATTGCATTTTGATTCTCGACGCAAACGTTAAATACGCTTCCACTTCAAGCACGATATAAACGAAACAAATGGTGGAAAACAAATGAACCTAGATTTTTATTATACATAACAACTTTCCGCATCGATCTAGCTAATAGAGATTGCTCCCTGACCTACCAAACTAGCAGAAAAAAATCAGTCCGGATACTTATTGGACAAACCCTGTATACTGCATACAACAATATTAAATGACGATTAAAATACACGTGGAGATGGAAATACAAATGACGTATAAAGTGGGTGTGGGTGTCGCCCACAATGACCGTAGCAAATAATGAAACCAAGCAATACATACATAGAAAACTACAAACAAGAGACTCTATTGCTAAGGCTAAGGGTTCACAACCAGATGTGAGTTACAATAAAAAATACTCGCTAGAATGTACTCTTTGGGTCTTACTGCTACTATGGGTAAAGAATTGATTTGAAACTACAAATGCGAAGGAACAGAAACCGTTGAACTATTGTATCGCGAAACACTTGTACCGAGGTCTAATCCCCTCGCTGTAATATGTATTCTACGAACTGACAAATCTTTCAATCGCGGATTGAAACAAATAGGTATGTTAAACACAGGAGACAAATGATCAAACAGAATGTTCAAACCAAAATTAATTAAAAAGGTAAACTTTTGTTCTTATTGCGATACATTGTACTAATTTTAAATTACTGCAGCTGTTAATGTGTGAACCATAGAACATCTAGGACTGATGCAGTATGAGAAATTTTGAAGAAAATAAGATAGTTTCATTATACGAAGTATATTGTTAGATTCCAAACAGAAAATTTTGCAGTTTGGCAGAAAGCAATCAATCGTCTTGCTTCAATCATACCACTTCAGCCGATTTATTTTCTGTGTCATATCAAAAATGCATACAATTGTTTAAAATTAATTTAATCGTTATCAAAAATATACATATTCATGGAGTTTGACAATTCTACATCTCGAGTGATCGATACATTTCATGCGACACATTTTAAATTACCATTAATTAATTAATATATTTCTTTGAAATTATTATAAATCAAACCTCAACAATTAGTACGAGACGTAAATGCATTCATAAGCCAAGTATCTGTATAATTAACGTGAAATTATAAATACAGTCGAAATATTCGAAACGCTATATAAATAACAAAAGAAGTTAAATTAATAACTATTAATTTTCTACTATTAAATTTTATAATTTTTGAAATGTAAGTAAAAATACATAATAAATGTATGCTACACGGCTAAAAAAAATATTATATATTGGAAAGTTCGTATTAAATGCGACTAAAATCTTTAGCTTCTTTTACCATGACATGCTGATTTCTCAAAAATCAAAATTTAACAACACATTTAACATTGACTTCGCAATGAAAAGGAAAAAATAGACTTTTTCTAACTCGATAACACATATAGTGAAACTTCGATTATTCAGCATAATCGGTGAACAAACGATTTGAATACATCGAGACTCATTGTCAGACGACAATCGTGACCAGAAAGGAACCACTTTCTGGCTTGCAAACTAGGGTTTTATTCTTACATACTTTTCTCCATTATAAACATGTATACAATATATACTGTTACAATATAGCATTTGTATATCGTATTATTATTATCAGCGTACACTTTTACTGCTTTCTTAATTTTGCACTCACAAGTGCTATATTGCACAAACTGTTCATCCATATTGAATCTACTTTTGTTGCGTCGTTGCGTTGTTCTAAATATTGTAGAATCCGATTTAAAATAATAGCATCATCCTCAGGTTTATTTTTTCAGTTTCCTCAGTTTCATTACCATTTGGCTCTTTATAGTAGTGATAATATCGTCGATGATCTGGAAGTAATTATCTAAAAGCCATTCTAGTTTGTCGAATTCATCCACACTTCCGCATATTTCCACATTTTTAATCAAACATAAAATTTCATCTTTGAAACGATTTACATCAAAATTCTCTTTTGCAACAGAAAATTCTGCATCAAAAGGTTCTTTCCAAAGATGAATTTACGATTTAATAATAGTTTGTTTGTGTACCTTCTCCCATGCATTGGCGCAGAGGTAAATAATATCCTTAATTTGCAGGGTTTTTAACGTTACCATAAAATTACCATTTTACTTCGAGAGATGAGTGCAACAAACATTGCCTTTTTTCTTGCACTCATTTTGCAACTAATCATTTTTACTGAATAATTTTTATTCGTCTTTTTTTCATTCCCCTACAGGATATTCGCCTATGCCAACATTAAAAGCATTTAATATTACTGAATCTCCCAAATATATTCCTCGTAATTTTTCAATCTTTTCCCAATTGAAACTACTATTTTTTTTTTCTTTTAGAATTCATTCTGCATTTTGAATATTCATTTGATAACAACAGCGATCTAACAGTGATTGAAAGTAGCAATGAGGAAAGAATTTTGTTGGTACGGAAAACGTGAATATTGAATGGAACATCTTTTTATTAAAAGTAAGGCAATGTATAATCAAGGTCCTCAATAATTAAGATCTCAGTTAATTTCAACACAAATATTTACTAACCGAGTAATCAATGTGTTTATAATCATTAATTTGAATGTTATTTTAATGGTTATGTTAAAAGAAAAATTTGTGTTCAATCTCAAAAGCATATTGAATATTAAACTTAATGAAACTCTTAAACTTGTATCATCAAACTTAAACTCTTGTTCAAATATTTATGAATACGTACTCTTTGAACCGTGTGGTACCAGTTAAATCGTTTTCTTCAGTTATAAATTAAATTTACAGTTTGAATTTTCCTTAGTTTCTAATTAAATATAATGTTAATAGTAATTTTATATTAGTGAGATTTTTAGCAATAATCTTATCTGCAATTATATGAATAAAAGTTCATTCTTTCTTGCTAACTGCATGTTTTTATTTAATTTGATCAAATTATCATATACGTTTATATTGTTTTTACGAAATTCATGACTCGAGATAAAGAATCATGTTACATATTATTTATTTATTTTTATAAATCAGTTTCAATTAAAACATTAGTCGTCATAAAACGTCCGTAAATCTAAAATTAAACTTCACCTCAAATAATAGAGAGTTTAATTTTCATTGTATAATTATTCAAAAAGTAACATTGGTTTCGCGTATTAAATTATTTTCTCGTTTTATTTGGTCTTTGATCTTCTGTTTGGCATTTCGTCAGCAGAGATGTGTGAACATATATCGACAATTAATAACAATTGCGTAGCTTAAATTTAGTCGCTAAAAGTTCTGGGAAATATCCGCAGGATAAGTACAAAAATGGTTTGAAGGGAACAAAGAGTAGCAATTAAAAATCGGTCCACGTCAAACCACCACGGAAACAGATACTTTGTCAGGTGGAGGGACAGCACGAAACAACATTCGACAAAGATTTACCGCCACGTACGGTAAACTCTGGTGCCTGTAAATCTTCGTTGTGACTCGAAAATAGAGAAAACTCGGCAGTGTGCGTCGTCACTTCCATTTTATTGTTCGCCCCTTCTCGCTGGTTTGTTCGTCAGGAACGATCAGGGTAGATTTTCTAAAGCTGAACAAACATTTTTCCGCCATATTCTACAGCGCGGTCCCGTTAAAAAGAATAACAAACGATGGTAACAGTAAAATAGACGTTTCGTGTTGCATGAAAGATTTTTTGAGACTGAAAACTTTTGCACGGATTTTATTCGGGTGGAAAAAACGCAAAGTAGCACGCTGTTATAATTATCGCTACAATACCAGCGAGTTTTAATTCAATCGTGTTACAGAATTAGAGGTTTTAAATCATAAAAACAAATTGCTCATACATTACGATACAAGTTATTCTACAAAATTTCAAGAAGTTATTTGTGTCGAAAAATCAGTGGTAGTAAGAGTACCTACCACTTTAAATCAACAGAAAAGCATTTCGAAAGCGCAGATATGTTCAGTTCACCTTGTTATTTCGTACACAAAGTACACAGTTTTAATAAAACAATTACACTCCATTAGAAATGGTTTATACTATTTTGATTCTTAGGTAGTCAAATAATAATAGTCATTCTGCGAGATTATGTGGTACTATACATTCACTAAGACATCCAGGTAGTGTGACAATAAAGTCATTAGTTGCCAAAGTTCAACGGGGAAATATGATACGAAAAAGGAAAGTTCGTACTTCGAAAGTATTAACTACTTCAGTTGTTTTGGGGCACATAGCTTCAAATCCACATAGCAGGATACGTGAGTGTAGCCGGCAACATAATATTTCACAATCAACTGTTTCTGACACAATAAGAGCCGGTATCACCCGTATCAAATGCTTTGAGTACAACAATCAAGAGAAAATGATTAGAATCAGTTGATCATCATGAAAATATTGTAACAAGTTATAAATAAATGATTGCGATAAAAGGGTTACAATCAATCGATTATATTGAAATGATTGTAATAGTACGATTATAATCAGTTAATTACAGTGAAATGATCGCGATTAAATTATTATAGTTAATTGATTACAATAAAATAATTGTGATAAGATGATTATAATTAGTAGATTATACTAAGATGATTGTGATAAAGTCATCATAATGAATTCAGTTCATTTTTAGTGGTGGACCGGAAAGAAAATATAATTCCCTCTTCTAAATGTGATGAAGCTATTCTTCTTAGTATTTATCAGTTAAACAGACATAACTACTGATTCAAGAAAATATACAGCGAAGAACAGAAGTATTCGTACACTTGAAATATAGGAATAAAAAAACAATATTTTTTATGTTATTAAGTATATTTAATCATATATAGCTGTATATTAAACATTACTCTTAGAGTAACAAATGACCCTAAACCGAAGACAATAACATCATGTAGTAACTTGAAATGATTTGAAATTCACGCGACTGTAAGAAATCGCCGCACAAAAATATTCGTACACTTAATTATTGCTACAATTATTTTAGTAGGAATTTTATAAATTAATATTTTGCATGATAACTCTTCTGATAAATCACTTCACGTAATATATCGGGCATTGACAACACCAAACTTCTAACGAAATAAGGTTCTATATTACACCATTCTCTTTTTAATATTTCTTTCAAGTGTTCTTTCGACGTTATATCATGTTTTCATACATTTTTTTCTAGTTTCGTCCATACATGTTCGATAGGATTTAATTTAAGCGATTGTGGAGGAGTTGCTAATCTGTGGGAAGTATTGGTATTATCAACCACTGACGCACTATTCATATAGGCTGTATGTTGCTGAAAATAAAATTCATCTAATTCATTCCAATTTGTCTGCACCATTTTGTAAATTTTCTTTTAAAATATTTAGATATAAATGTTTTTCCATTATTTTATTTACTATTACTAAATTGCCGTCTCCAAAAGCAGCAATACATCCTCGCTTCTCCACCTTCGTGTTTCGTTGTCGATTGCATATTTTTGAAATCCAATTAAAAGTATTAGCTTTCCGCCATACTTTTTTACTACCGTCCGACTCGAAAATATTTCATTTTGACTCGTCGGAAAATACTATGTTTTTTCAGAAGTCGTTAGCATTTATGTATTGTTCTGCAAATTCTAACCTCTTTTCCGTTTACTTTACTTATGAGTAGTTTCTTCCTCGCAACTATACTATTAAATATATCCGGTCCGATGCAGAACTCTTCGTACTGTTTGTTAAAAATGTCAGTTGGTTACAGTCTTCGAAAGTCATCCTGCAATACAATAAGACTAGGTCGCACATTGCAAAAATTACTGCTGAAACTATTTCGAAGTTAAGATAGGAAGTTCTTATTCACCCTGTCTCTACTCCAGCTGTTGCACCTTCAAATTAACAGCTATTTCGTTCGACACAGCGGACTTTGAAAGGACAACATTTCAAAAAGCGTGAACTGAGAAATTGGTTCGTTAATTACTTTACAACCAAGGAATCTGTAGTTCTCCGTTGTGGAATCCATCTGTTACCAAAAAGTGGAAATCATTCAAGCTGTTGACTATTATTTCAATTAAAAGTTCACCTATAGTTGTATCATTTTGATAAATATTTACAAACCATTTTTAAATATTTTTAATAAATGATTTAAAGTAGAATATTAAGAACTAATTAATATTCTAAGATTTTTTACTAGAAAGTAAATTCTACGTGACTGACGCTGCTTTGTTTATTGTAACAAGTTATATTTCCAACCACAGTGTTTTTAAATTTTAGACAGTGTCAATATGAGACATCTTAATGTATGAGATATTTTATTATCTCATTATCAGCATTGTTCCCGAAGCTCGGTAATAATAAAAGTGACATCGTGAAAGTTATCGTGAAAGATATTGTATGCTACGTTTATTGCCACGTTTCGTAACAGCGAAAAATACGATATGATAATCGTTTATGGTGCGTGCTACGGAAATGTGAAGCTAAAATATTATACGACACCAAATATCCTGATCGAAATCATCTGTCGCATACTACTTTCTTACGTTTTAATAAAATTATTAAAGAACACGGCTTCAGTGTATGACAATAGCTTAAACAGAACAAAACTTAATATCAGTACTCCATGTATTTTACGTAGTTAGGGTAACAGTGAGGGTTAATATAACAATAGCGCGTACTCTTATATCCTGAATCACATTGTGATTTAATACATCATGAGTTATAAAAACGACTTTGAAAAAGCCTGCAATTTTGTGAATGGCTGCAGCGTCAACTGCAGAATATAAATTGTGCATTTATACAAACTATTCTGGTTTGAATTGTAAATAGGACACACTATTTATAAATCACGGACAAGTTTAAAAAATATACTGAACCATTTTCTTCGTTGACTTCATGAAATCGATCATCGTCAGTGGAGTGTCAATGTATGATGCGGCATAATTGATCACTGGATCATTGAGTTGTATTTCAATAATGGACCATTAACGGCTCAAACGTATTCCACTTTTCCGTCAGAAATATCACCAGATCAATTAGAAGATGTACTTCTAGTAGGTTTAAAAATCTGAGGATAAACTCAGATTTCGGCAAAAGACCTAAACTAAGAACAAATAATTATAGCACGGTATGCGCCCTTGAAATAACCAGTTTGAAACATGTATTTCTTCGCAGTCCTTTAAAAAATTGTCCACACTGATTTACAAGTTATTTGAAGTCATCTCATTATGGACTGACTCAACACAGTCGAATATACATGAATAACAAATAAAAAACAAATAACAAAAATATTTATTTCCATTCAAAATGGTCGGTTCTGTAAAATTTCTTTTCATTCAGCTCTTGCCAGCGTGGTTTCGCTAGAATTGTGCTGAATTAAAAAAACTAAAATTTTTCACTCTGAGGATAATATTCTCGAAAAAAACACGTTGAATATTTTTAAAGTATTGATTACTGTAGAAGCGATGATCCTTTAGAATGGAAAAGTCGATTTCAGCTGCAAGAAAATCTCGTATGTACTTCAACAGCAAATGTCATCTAGGAAATGAAAAACCATGGTTTTTTAATTTCACTTACCACGTCCGAGTTCAGATGAACGGTAGAGTCCCGAGACGAAGATAGGGAAATCGCGTAAATCAACTATTCAACCGAGACGAGCTTCACTGATATACTGCATTTTGTTTTAACACATTCGGGATGGGCCCCGATCGACTTTCCAATCTCACGAGCTGGAGAAATGAATTCATCTCCTTTTTACGTTTTTGAAAGGTTTTTTTGTTTACGTTTAGAGCTCTTTTTTAATCACCGAGTTGAAAATCTTTTTTAAATGCAAAAGTTGTTCATAATTTTAAATATATTGGTATTTTCACCCATATTTGAGCAGCTTCTTTTGAAATTGGCCTGGATACATTTACTTCAAAGTTGAGATATTCCAGAGTTTACGTTTTGATAAATTTAAAAATATTGATAAGTAATAACTTATAATGTGTATAATTTGTTTGTGTCTCTAAGGGTGCATAATTTACGAAACTAATTAGTATAACATACGTAAAAAAAAAATAATATATTGTTGATAGCAATTAATGAACTTATGTCGCTTTCAAAATTAATTAGGAAAAAATGAATTTTACTTAAAATAAAAAGTAATACATGTATACAAGCTTCCATTAAAAAATTAAAGAGTATCCAAAAATATAATATATGTTATAAAATTAAAAAATTAAACACATTCGATAACTTTATTCGCTGTTAAAAAAAAATTTAAATACAAATTGATAATATTTTGCAATTTACAACACATTCTCTTCCAATTTGCGTATGCGAGAAGGTATTGCTTCAGAATTAAAAGATAACATGGCAATATATTATAGTAGCAAGTTTGATTTTTTTAGAAAGTGGACTTACAGCACTTTGTATCATTCTTTTTATTTTAAATATAATAGTTACAGTTTGTTTTGAAATAAAAAGATAAGGTTGAAATCTATTTTTTGTAATAGTTTGATTTTTTTAGAAAATGGACTAAGGCCACTTTCAAAATAAACAGCTCGATTATGAGAGTAATAATTTTGAGTTGGTAGAAAGTTTCTTATACCGAACGACTTAAGAAAATACCTCCATAAACCAGAAACGTGTTCATAGTTATGAGCAGAAAAGTTTGACAATTTTAATTAACACTAAATTTTTAGTATTTTAATTAATACTAAAAGTTTGATCTCTTCACTTAATAGAAAATCTAATAAAACAGACCGAAACGTTATGTATCTCGTTAAAAAATAATATTCTAAGAAATTGCGTCAGTGATTCAATTTAGGAAACTGGCTTCCTAATTAGGATCACAGGTATTGTGAATGACTGGTTTTCTGGTAATTTATGAACTTTTATTTAACAGTATACTTACATACAATGAAGATATAAAAAATAATTTTGAGGAACATTTTCCAACATATTAACAAACTTTAAAGTTTCAGAAGTAAAGTTGCGGATTCAAAAATTTAAGGATTTAGGGATTTGGAAATTTGAAACTATGACACTTTTATTCATGTAGTGAGTACCGTCTACTCCAGGGGTGGCCAACCTGCGGCTCGCGAGCCACATGCGGCTCTTTGAAGGATTATTTGTGGCTCTCGATAAATGTACCCAAGTTCCCTTTTCATTTTTGTGCTATTATATTTTAAAAAATTATTATCGTTCCATATGTGTTTCAAAATTACTGACGACAGATATGAAAGACTAAGTGCAACGTTGAAACAAATTTCATTTCCGTCCAAGTTAAGAATAATATGACTCATCGAAAACTGCGCCATCGAAAATTGCGGCTTGCGAAACATTTCAAACTTTGAAAAATGGCTTGGACTATCAAGGAACTTGGCCACCCCTGGTCTACTCTAACCGTTACGAACCTAAGTACTTGTATCGTATTGTATCAGGAGTACTCAAAAGAAACGGAACTTATTCCTTTTTAACTTATTTATTTAACCAGTTAAGAGTGTTTAACGACTATATCCGTTATGGACATGTGACAGAATTTTGTATCATGACGACTATATCCGTCATGTGTAAAGATTTTGTTACAATTTGATATTTAAATTGTAATTTTGGCGAAAACTAAATTATATTCGTAAATTGTTATATGTTTAAAATGTTTAGAGGTCAACACGAAATGAAATAAACAAATAAAAAGTGTAAATGATTTGAGATAGATTCATAAATTCTTGAGAGCTAACTCGTCATCGCTTGATTATCGCGACACATACTGATGCGCGCTTTGCAAAAAGATCGCCACAGTTAACTGGTTGAATTCTAATCAGAAATCTTCAATCCCATGCAAAGCACTCTTCACCTGCATTAATATACTTGACGAATCTTATTCCATTTTTCAAAAAATTATTTAAATTCATCTTTTGTGATGCTTAACAGCGCTTCCGTCGTTTTTTCTTCTCAGCAATATCAGCAAAACGCTTTCCTTTCATGTCTCTTTTCATTTGAGGAAACAAAAAAAAGTTACAAGGTCGGGTCCGTATAGGGGATGAGGAACAGGGGTCATGCCATTTTTGGTTAAGAATTGTCAGGGACATGAAAGGAAAGCGTTTTGCTGATGTTGCTGAGGTGAAAAAACGACGAAGGCGTTATCAAGTATTACAAAAGATGAATTTAATGTTTTGAAAAATGGAATAAAAGATTAGACAAGTATATTAACGTGAGTGAATAGTACTTAGAAGGACATCGGACTTTATGCTTAAAATTTCCATAAATAAGTTAATTTTTACAATTCATTTATTTGTTATTTGAGTGAATGGACAGAACGGAGTTTTATAATATTCTGATATTGTAACTACTGCATAAGTCATTGTATCATTCTTAAATTTTACTGATATAATCTTGAAATTTTCCTTTATACACCCACTGTATATCCGCATTGTCATGAACTTTGTTTGTAGCGTACATTTTATTTATTGAAAATTCCAAATGTAATCGATTAATTACGTTATCTACTGTAGTATAGCGTGGTTCATTTAAATCAAGCCACTCAAGTATCTTCAAAAATATTCAGGTTGCAAGAAAATGTTTTAAAAAGACGTGTGCAAAAGATATGAGAGTAAAATTTACGTTATTTTTAAACGCAATTATATATTTCTTAATTCAACAATCATGGCATATCGTTATTCTTTAGATGCAAGTAAATCATTAGTTTCAAAGATATTTGAAATTGTGTATACAGTAGCTAGGTACATGTCACAATTTTACTTCGCCATTTTGCAACAAGTATTTGAAATTTTCAAATTTCAATCACAATAACCAAGATTCTACAAATATATATTGTAACCATTATCTTTTTCTTTTTAAAATTTTTTAACCGTTTACAATTTCAGTCTTCTACTTCATATCCAAAATTCTGAATTCTCAAAGAATGTCTGATATTATTAAAAATTTATTATATTTATATACTTACTCTATGAAAAATTTAAGTGACTGAAGTTATGATACCCTGTAAAAATTCAGTCACGATCGTTTGTCTGGTTTCCGTTTATTTTCAGCGACTCGTTCCTTCAAGCAGAAAATATAAACTTATTTCAGGTCACGATAAAATCCCAAAAAATGGAATCTTTTATACATAACCGCTCGTATCGAGGAAACACGGCATCGTTTTAACAGCATTTAAATTCACAGTTGTTTTATACGATTCATTTGCGATATTTCCGCTCGAATCTTGACTCCCGGATTTAATTGGAGACGGGTAGACATATTTCTTTTCATCGATTTCTCGCCGGTCTCAAAGCAAGTAGGAACATTCTTTCCTAGCGATGCTAGATGTGACATGAAAATTCATGGAGGGATTATATAACCATCGTTCCATATTTTCCGAAAAGAGAGAACACACACAATGGCGGGAAACCAACGACTTTTTACCCCTGCTGATGTTTGAATCAAGATTATGAATTCAGATGAGGATTCTTTGCAACCTTGGCGGTTTTCACCCTTTACGCTTGTGTTTCAATGCTGTATCTGTATATCGGTCAGGTTAAAACCGTAGTTCTCAATCTTTTTGAAGTTACCAATACTTTCAACATTATATTTACCCGTGTGTAATATACTTGTTTTGTGATTAATAATGAGGTTTCTGAAATTACTCTATTTCTAATCTTCTAAATTCATAATTACTATATTTTCTAAACTTTTAAATTAAAAAATTTTCAAATTTCTACATTTTTAAATTTAATTACATACATTTGTAATTTTTTTAACACAAAAAAAGGCTTTAATATATTAAAAAATATTACATGTTATGCTATAACTATAATAACAGTATTTCTATCTTAACTTCTTTTCAATAACATTCATGTAACAATTGATATAAAAATTTAACTAATTATGTCAATAGTATTTTTTATTTTTGCTTTACTACTTTATCTAAATTATTGATCCTGTCTTCTGTTTACATACATTTCATGATTATTTCAATTTATTTATATTATTTATATAAACAACTAAAAAAATACTTTTAACATAACATAACATAATACTTTTTTAGAATATGGACTGCACAGTTTCCTATTTCTTCATGTTTCAATCGTTTATAATTGCAATTATTATTTTTCATCAACAAATTTTCCATTAAAATCATTATCACAAGCAATTCTTGCTCGAACCATAATTCTTTCACTTGCACGTCACCTTTCTTTAAAAATTTTCCTGTTACCTGTTTTTGATTATGAAAGTAATTAGACCAGTAATCTGGGTCACCTAAATCAAGTCTCTTTTCATCAATGAACATGACACGTTGCCACTTTTTATTTCATCCAATATGTTCAGGTTCGAAGTTAATTTTGCGCGTTGTGTGAAAGTATATGTATAACCAATATCGTCACTAGATTGAAATAGCGTTGGAGAAATTCTATAGTTAGATTTTATAGTTTTCATAGCGTAACGTTATATTACTGCGCACAGGGAGTTAGCTTGTTTGATGTTTACATATTACTATGTATTCATAGCACGAATATTTAAATTGCGTTGGAAAAATGTTAGTATAAAAAATCATTTTCATATTGTATAAACAACCTGGATCATATTTTCTTAAACAAAGATTTCTAATTTATAAGTATAATATTGAAATGATTGTGTAATCATGTAAGAATAAGCGGGAACTATAATTATTTAGTAACAAAGTTAAATATATATTATGATATGTTATCTAAGTTGTATATACATAATAAACAAGTAAATTGTATAATCCTTATTTTCTTTATCAGCAAATTGATGTACATTTTGGTCATACACAGGTTAGGTGCAAACTGTACAAACTGTGCATGTCAAATTATAATATAAATTCCTGACGATTTTTTTTTTGTTTTCGAAAATGAAACAAACTTTTCGAATTATGTATATAGGATACATATAATAATAGTTGGTAACAAAAATGATATATAGTAGTAGCCACGTACGTTAAAAATGAAACTTCTGTTCTTTTTGTTATTAGTTACATTGTTCCCTGGCCCATTGGCATTCCGATTTTTGTTCAGTGTTTATTATAGCTTTTCTTTTGCTGATTATGAATTTTTAATCCATCTGTCTGCAGCACGTACAGTTTTTGAGGAGTCTAATTTTGAAAAAGAGCATATTTTTTGTGAGGTAAGTATAAAAGATTCTAAGATCTGTTTGTATCAAAAGATTCTGTAAACTCCTCTGAATGCAAGGGTGTCTGTTTTTTATACATTCTGAATATTTAAATTTATCTAAACAATCATTAAACGTGGCGAGATATCGATTTTGCACTAATTTTTATGTATTTTTTTCAATTTATCTTAAAAGTAAGGGTCTAATGGCAAATAGAACTATACCACGCGATAGAGTAGATTTTCAGCTTTAAAAAACATCCGAAGGAAGTTGTAACGTCGTTTTCTTTACGATGCTGAAAAGTAAAATAGCAGAGCAGGAGACGAAGCGAAAACAGTGGTGCTCTGTGACGGAGTAGTCATTCGGTGCCCCCCTTAATAAACAGTATCAATTTATTACATTTATAAATAATAATAATAGCAACAATAATTTTGCTATTATTATTAATATTCATATTGATGTTATATTATTCATTGCTATGCTATCAGTTTAAAACTAATAAGAATAACTGTAATAAACTACGTATATGTATAAGTAGTTTATACGTATAATAAACTATCGTATTGTAATACGACGTGCCTACCTATATTTAATATTATTACATATTGATTATATTTTATTTTATTTGATATTAGTTCTATTAATTTAATGTTATATTTATTATATAATATTTAATATAATATCAATAATTATAATTAACTGTGTAGTGTGAAATTTAGATTCTACAAACATGCTTACTTTTCCCGTAATTTAAATATTCCCGCGTTACAAGACCAACAACATGACGGCATGTCATGTGATTTTAACCACTAATATTAATGGCGAATATACCTTCCATCTTTTTTAAATATATTTTACTCCGTTGATTAAATTCTATATTTCTTTATATTAATATTTATTTTTATTAGTATTCTACTTCTTCTGTAGTTTACTACAGTATTAATGCTGAATAGAACGCAGTTCTTAAAGTGGCGCACTGACTTTTCAGCAAAATTTCTACACTTTTCAACTCTCCATAATTATTACCTTCTTTAAAGAAATTTTTCATCGTATTTTACTTCTGACCATAATAATTACGACTTATACAACACTCAATTTTTGTTTTCATAAGTTAAAGACTAACATTTTCTTTTTAATTTCCTTGATTTCTTTTCAATTTCTTTCATTTTCTTCTTAATTTCTTTAACTCTTCTTTTCATTTCTCTCATTCTCTTTTTAACTCTATTGGTTTTCTTTTCAATTTTTTTCATATTCTTTTTCATTTCTTTGATTCTCTTTTCAATATCTTTCACTTCCTTTACAATTTGTTTTTCACGTCTAATTTTACAATTAAAACCATTAGTTCGTAAGAAACACTAAATTACTTAAACAGATATTTTACGTTGCGTAAATACACAAAGACTGTATTTATATTTCAATATTCGTGTATTAAATGTCATAGATTTGTTGTTATCGTACTTTCAGTATTATTGTCCCATTATTTTGTCGTGGAGTGTACGCTTTTAAATGGTACATTCCACAATAAACGCGAATTAAAAACGTGTGATATATAAATGTTCCAAGTACCACAACGAATAAACCGCAATTTATTTCCGTTTAACGCAATAACAGTAAAGAAACATTGCCGTTGGGTATCAGTAGTATTCAGTAATTTTTTTTTAAATCGGTGAATATCTCCTTGCTTTGCATTTCGATTGAAGCTCTGATATTCCTGTCAGATATACAGTTTCGCTGCCATTATTGGAAACAGCTTTTCCATCTTCGTTTTATTAACTTTCTTGCATAAAATCACTTACTAAGGCGAAAACACTGAAGGAAAAAGAGCTTAAGTACTCTACTGTATTATGCAGTATCAACAGGGCCATATTTATCGTCAGATGCATTAAACGTATAGAGTCTCCTTCGCTACAAAGCTACATTTTAAAACCGCATTCCTATACTCCACAGCAATGTATAAAATAATTTTAAGAAAAAAAATACGCCGACTTCGAAATGCACTAAAAAGTATAAAATAATTTCTATTTCCTAATGAAGTAATTTCTATTTCATTCAGTCATACAATTACCTAACAGATATGAATGAAACCTATTTACTCGTTAGGTAGTATATTAAATACATTTCAACCTTTTCAGAAGCGGCGCAAAATTAAAAGATTTTCTTGAACATGTCAACCTTTGGACAGCCGAACATAGGCAAAGCTTGTATAGCTATTTTTTTTCTATACATATATCTCGACAGCACGCCGCGAAGTCGGTGGTAGTGCGTATAGAATGTAACTATGGTCTATCTAGATTCATAGAGTATGCAACGGAAAGTCTCGAGCGCCGCATATTCTATAAAGATAGAGCCTATCGGCCGCAAATTTGGTAATTCCCGCGTCGTGGGCTCCGTTTATAGGTTCTTAGATCCATGGCTTCCACATGCGAACGAAGTCGATTCAATTTCATTTCTATCAGAAACATTGCGAAATGCAGATGTAGTCGTTACATTTACGTATATTACCAGATATATCTATAATG